ATTTTTAAATAATAAGGTTTTGACAGATTTTATGCTTCGACTAAGTATATTTACTATCTGGTTGTGTCTGTGTAATCTGCCTGCGTGACTGTTGGGCAAGCTCCTGTAATATGCTGAATGGTCTCGGGTTGTTTGTGGCATTTTCAACATTTATTATTATTATTTCTATTGCTTTGACTACATATTTAAATCGAAAATATATTTTAATAAAAATGGCCATGCAATTTAAATACCACATTTATTCATTAATAGAGTTGCCTTGTATTGCATTGCTTACGCCTTCACGTCGGTACAAAAGCAGAACTTGTCGCCAGTTGAACGCATCCATTCCCTAGTTTGTTTTATTTCTACGCACTACCGTGCATGACAGCTAAAACAAACTCACTGAACCACGCGCGGTGGACAATCAGGTTGAGGAAGTTATCACCCGGAAATGATTATTAAAAATGCGTTTTGTATAAATATAAGCGTACTAGGGAAGTTGCACTCAAGAGCGGACGCTGCGGCTGAGGTTATGGGATTATTTAATTATTTATTTATGATCTAAATAAATAACTTATGGAGAAACTAATATCGGGTGCTGATTGCGCATTTGAAAATCTACAAATTTATATTGTTTAATTATTCTTTTACCGTCATTTTTTAAGTAAAAAATATAAATTTACTATTTCACTGCACCCGCCTTATTTTTTCAAATATTTAAACAAATTTTTGACGCGCAAACAAATAATTAAGTACCGATAAACATCATTTTTACGCACAATCGATTTATAATAGTCGCATTTTTAATAATTATTTCCGGGTGCCAACTTCCTGAACCTTGGACAATCGCCCTTAGAGCGATTGTCCACCGCCGCCGTATCCAGGACGTCAACGAGAACGAGATTATTTCTGGCAGAGATCAAGATGACGCGACCGTTTGTCCACCGCGACGGTCTCGGTGGTTTATTAATGTAACAGTCGTTACGTGGTTACGGTAACGCCGCAGCGTGCCACACCGTTAAACCTCATATACACGTTTAGTGCATTTTGGGAACTGTTTCTATCCGCACGAATTTTCAGTTACGAACTATGTATATCGGAATAAGTAGACTTTACACAACTATTTGCGTAGAAAGTGACCGGGCACGTTCCAGCCTGCAGATATTAAAATTTCAAAATAAAAAAATCTCAATTTATAGATCTCAATTAGCCCTTTCGATCTACGTTAATTAATTTATAAGCCCGTTTTTCGTTTTCCAAGGAAAAATAGAAATATAATTTTCAATTTTTCTGTGCTTAAGATAGCCATATCTCTTTGAAAAATGATTATTTTTTACTCTACCAAGCGTGAAAAAATTGCCCTTGCCCTAGTTTAGGTCGAAAGGGCTAATTGAGATCTATAAAATGAGATTTTTTTATTTTGAAATTTTAATATCTGCATTTATTATATGTCAAAAGTTTATTCTGTCGCGCATGCGCAATGCGCAAATAATTGGCTTGGAAATGCCACGACGGTTTTTTATTGTTCACAATAATAATTATTGAATATTTTTAAGAATTAGCACGCGGGCAAATTAAACTAGCGCAAGGGCAATTTTTTCACGCTTGGTAGAGTAAAAAATAATCATTTTTCAAAGAGATATGGCTATTTTAAGTAGAGGAAAATTGAAAATTATATTTCTATTTTTCCTGGGAAAACGAAAAACGGGCTTATAAATTAATTAACGTAGGTCGAAAGGGCTAATTGTGATCTATAAAATGAGATTTTTTTATTTTGAAATTTTAATATCTGCATTTATTATATGTCAAAAGTTTATTCTGTCGCGCATGCGCAATGCGCAAATAATTGGCTTGGAAATGCCAAGACGGTTTTTTATTGTTCACAATAATAATTATTGAATATTTTTAAGAATTAGCACGCGGGCAAATTAAATTAGCGCAAAGGCAATTTTTTCACGCTTGGTACAGTAAAAAATAATCATTTTCAAAGAGATATGGCTATTTTAAGTAGAGGAAAATGAAAATTATATTTCTATTTTTCCTGGGAAAACGAAAAACGGGCTTATAAATTAATTAACGTAGGTCGAAAGGGCTAATTGAGATCTATAAAATGAGATTTTTTTATTTTGAAATATTAATATCTGCAGGCTGGAACGTGCCACGTTAGAAAGTGTCCTCCTGTCCGTAAACTTAGTTACAGAAGATAATCTATCTAGCAGTCCTTTTGACGCTTATTTACAATATGTAACAAGCGTAGTTTGTTATACTAGATTTTTTTTTTATAGAATGAGTGTGACAAACGAGCACACTATCCTACCTATGGTCAAATGGATGGTTTATGATTCGTTTCGTGTCCGTCCGTTAGTTCGTTTGTAGGTTTCTCGGTTGGTTTGGTCGTTAGTTTGTCTGATTGACAACTATTTTTATAGAATGAGTGTGACAAACGAGCACACCATCCACCTATGGTGAAATGGGTGGTTTACGATTCGTTTGTGTCCGTCCGTTAGTTCGTTTGTAGGTTTCTCGGTTGGTTTGGTCGTTCGTTTGTCTGACAACTATTTTTATAGAATGAGTGTGACAAACGAGCACACCATCCACCTATGGTGAAATGGGTGGTTTACGATTCGTTTGTGTCCGTTCGTTAGTTCGTTTGTAGGTTTCTCGGTTGGTTTGGTCGTTAGTTTGTCTGATTGACAACTATTTTTATGGAATGAGTGTGACAAACGGGCACTCCATCCACCTATGGTGAAAGAGATGGTTTATGATTCGTTTGTGTCCGCCCGTTAGTTCGTTTGTAGGTTTCTCGGTTGGTTTGGTCGTTAGTTTGTCTGATTGACAACTATTTTCATCCGGAATAGTGTCTTTCTAGGTCTTCGAAAAGTACAAATAAATCGGATGAAATACGGGTGTTGCTAATGCTACTTTCATCGGCTCGGCTCGGACAACGCGTCGGACATCGGCCAAAGACAAAATGAGCGGTTTGCCGATTATTGATTGCATCCGTACGGCGCTGAAAGTAGTTGAATGTCCACTTAGGTTAGGTTCCCCCCCCCCCCGAACGGGTTCCCGCCTTGTCATGGCGGGGAGGGCTTAGAAGCCGTGGCTTGGTCACCCGCAGTGAACAAAGAGGAACCCACATGGCCCGAGGTGAAGGGGCGGCCTGAGGTGGCAACTCCGAGTGGGCTTGGCGAGCCCACTTCGGATGTGTGTTGGTGTACTGCGGCGAGAGGGGTGTCCTCATCCCCTACCGCTGCAGCCGAGGTGGAGTCGCAGAGAAAGAGGAGTGTTGGTATGGCAATGCGCCACTCGCCCTATCCTCCGCGACTCAAATGGGGCCGCACCGTTGATGCGGTGGTGGTGGGGCTGCGGGGGGAGAGGATTGTCAGTATTGCCAGGCGCCGCTCTCCCTACCCTCCGAAGCCGAATCTTTTGCTTTTTGTTGGCGGCGGAGCCATAGACCAGATCCGTCGCTAGGGTCAGAAAGGCTGGTACTTCTGAGTGCTCGTTTTTCCTGGCCCTACTTCTGAGTGCCCGTTTTTCCTGAGAAAGGGGAGAGGAGGCCTCTTCTGAAGAGGCGCCGCCATGGGGCAGCCGGCGCTGGAGGGGCCGCGGATGTGTGCGAAAACGTTCCCGTGGCCCTACCAATATGCGACGAAGGTGGAACACCATGGGGTTTAAGTCGGTGCGAGTCAGACATAACCCGTCCTTGCCCCCGCGAGGCGGGTATGCGTAGGCATTTCTCCATGTAAAAAAAGGTTAGGTTAGGTTAGGTTAGGACGGGTTTAGGTTTCCGACGGCAGCCAAATGGCGCCAGAGACGGCCGAACGGCTTTGGAATGATCCGCTCGCATTTCATTTCCAACGGCAGCCGAACGGCGCAGATACCGCAGATCCTCCACGGGGTTAAAATTTGTAAGTTTTATAAATAAGTAAATAGGGTGATAATAAAATATCATTGAAAAAATCATTTATTTAATTTTTGATATTACTTATAACTACACACTATTAACATTTTGAAAACAAAAATTGGTCTGAATACTAATACTATAGTACTCGAGGATAATATGATCATCCAGTTAATTAATACGTTCACTTTCTTATAACTCAAAACCTATGTAGCCTTGGTTACAAAGATGGCGTTGTGTACCGATAACTCTTCATCAGTCTATAGAAATAATATAGGTTCATATGGGCGCTGCTTTATCGACGCCATTTAGACAGTTGAAATTATTGTAAATATTTTAGCCGATTTTAGTATTGTATAGTTAGTTTTTTAAGTTTATTTTTGCGAAGTGTTTCTTTATTGCCAAAGCTTGTTTGCTATTGTTTTCTTATTCTATTAGTTATAGTATACGACTTTGTTTTTATCTCTGTCCTCCTCTTAGTTTTGGTTTTGTAGAGCGATAAATTTTAAGGTGACTATATTGTCCTCTCGTACCTTAGATATCTAGAGTAAGTTCTCTAAATATGGACTACTCGCATAATATAGATCATAGTAATATTCTGCAAGATGGCGCTGCTATCAAAGCAAAGTTAGCTGCAATCGAGGGCCTTGCCTCGCGACGTCTCGCCAGTGAATTTAGCAAAGCTGCATGTGCGAACGTCTAAAACCTATCAAAAAATAGTGTGCTCCATATTAGACACCCTAGTTCCATATTAAAAACCTAGTGGTCCGTATTGACCTACCTAATTTGAAATATTGAAATTTGTAACATTTTATAAAAAATTAAGTTTATGAATAGTTTTGTCGTTTTAAGACATTTTAATCATAGTACCATTGTGTTGTAGTTCATATAATGATTCAATTTAAAAAGCCTGATTTAGCTACAATATTTTGTGTTTTATTTAAATAAATCACTATGGTAGTCCATATTTAGAGCACTTACTCTAGTACTTACTTCTAAATCATTGTCAACTAAAATAGTTTTTAATGAAAATGTATAAAAGTATGTCTGAAGTACATACCTACTTCAAATAGTATGTCCTTTATTTAGTACCTTCTACACTGTTACTACCTACTTACGGTTTATCTTCGTCTTTCAATACATCAATTATATCAAATTTATAGACTACAGCCTTATTTCCGTGATGGGAAAGCATATGAGTAAACAACACATTAGGACTAAAAGTAAGACCACATTTTGAGCATTGTTGTCGTGAAATTCTATTTTTTGCACTACATACATTAAGATGTGCCTTAACAGAATTATCCAAGAAATGGAGACCACAGGAGCATTTATATAATTTTGCCGTTTTTTCTATTATTGGAGAGTCTTTTAATTCTTTGTTGTTATGTAAATTAGCGGGCGAAGAAGGTAAAACCTTAACTCGTTTAAATGGATTACAAGTTATTTCGTCTTTATCAGTCTTATTTAATTTAGATGTTATTGCCATATCAAAGCTTCCTTTCTGAGATTTAGTATTATCAAAATCATTTATGGTTATATTCTCAGTTATAAAATTACAATCTGTTTCGTGTAATATATAATGATGCTTTAATTTTCTAGCTTCGAAATAAAACCCACAGTAAGAACATTTTGATTTAGGAATTCCAAAAGAACAATCGTGCTTTATAGTATCCCGGGCGTATCTCATGCATATTTCGCACTTTGTGCATTTATAAAGTGAATAATCATATACTTTTCCATTAAACGATGACACTAAATTTTCATCTTTTAAGTTTTTGCAGTCTTCGTTTTCTATTTTCCTGCCAATCAAAATTACTTTTATATTCTTTGCGTTAAAGCTTTCAAATTCTTTATGTTTAGAAATGTGCGCATTATACTCTTTACTATATAGTAGTAACCCGCAGTAAGAGCATTTTTTTAAGTCGTTTTTATTACATATGTGATGTTTATATTCAGTTTTGCCCACAACACCTTCACAGTTTCTACATGTGTATAAAGTAAACCAATTTCCTGAACTAAGACCATCATTAAACATTTTGTCCTCGTCCCTGTTAAAGAGTACTATTCTATACGATTTCAACCCCTTGAATGGTCGTTTATGTATAGCCTCATGTTGCACTTTAGATGTAGCTGAAATAAAAGGTATTCCACAAGTTCTACAAGTATGTTTTCGAAGAGATAAGCAATTATTTCCAAGATGTTTGTACAACGAGTATGGGTCGATGAAACAACGGCACTGATCGCACTTATAAACCGTTAATTCCGGAGAAGCTTCTTGAATAACTTTCATTTTTATTTTATTCTCATATTTGTATATTGATTTGTTAATAATATTTTGCATCTGTTCCTGGGGTAAAGAATCAAACACTCTTTTCATCCACGCATCATAATCGGTTGTAAAATAAAATATGTCAAATTTAATTATTTTAAAATCTTTTTTGTTAAAGTTACATAGATGCAGTTTTTCGTGGTCTTCATAACACCCAACATCAAATATTAGATCACATAGTTTACATATTTTCGTAGATGATTGTATTTTTAAGGGATTATAGTGCCTTTGACAATGTTCTACTACCAAATCGTAAGCATCTACAGAAATATGGCAGTTTTTACAAGTATAAATAATAAACCTCTCAATTTCTTTTAGATCGGAACTTGGCATTTTTCGGGTTAAATTTGATTTTATATCACCTATATTTTTAGCTTTGGTTTTAGACCCGCTTTTGGATTGTGATAGATGTTTTGAATTAATATTATGATATTGTAATCGGTAGTTGTGATAATTCATGTGCAATTTGTACCCTAACTCAGAAAAGTTCATCTCACAATCAGAGCATGTAACATAATCATCAACACCACATTCATGTCTTATTTTAGCTATTTGATTAGCAAAATATATACCACAAATACTGCAATGTGGAAATTCGGGTATCGGAGGAGCTATACGCTTCCTACTCTTCAGGTCATAAAACTTGAAATCTTGTAAAGTTAAATTCTTTTTTCTCTGATGCAGCCTTCCATGTGAAGAAATACTTGTCTGTGTTATTATAAGTCCACAAAGTTTACAAGTTGCTGGTACAACATGAGAGCAATGAGATTTTTTATGTATTAATAGTGTACTATCATTAACAAAACATTTGCAAGTATTACAGTAGTATACCGTAAAAAGGCAGTCCAAATTATTATTTTTTATTTGTGATTCATAAGAATTAGAATCCACTGTCACTCTTGATTTTAATTGCCTCTTATTATTATTATACAGATTCTCATCAATGATATTACTTTGTATGACTTCTGTTCGAACAACATTAAAATCCTTATAATTTATAGATTTGCTTCTATGTTCATTATCATGTTCAATTTTAAGACTACAGTCAATTAAAATATCACAAAATTTACACTGTATGTGATTAGGAACAGTAGTCTCACAGATTGGAAAATGTTGAATAAACATATTTTCATCAAAGTGCACAGTGCATTTTAGGCATTTGTATAAAATTAAAGATTGTGTAGACTCACATAAGCCATATACAGTAAAATTATTTGTGACCAAATGTTGTTGTCTATGAGATAATTCATCATTTTTCTTGAAAATCCTGTTACACAGGGAACATTTCCAATTGATCAAAAATTCCATATGCTTAGAATGATTAACTGCAATTTGTGATTGTAGAAAATGAATATCACATTTATTACACTTAAACAAGACGGATTTTAAAATTCCACCTAAGGCAGACTCGTTTGTGTTTATAGTGGAAGTTTGGCTTACATTAGGAATTTCTTCCAATATTGCGTCACCTTTGGAAGATGATATTTTATTTTTCATTCCATTGATTTTGTTTACACCACTTGCTTTTGAAGGTTTATTTGAAGACTTGGTTTTGATTACACGTGTCAGTAGATTTTTATGTACTTTACGTAAATGCCTATTGTAAGACACAACACTCTCAAATTCAGATGAACAAAATTTGCATTTTGGATCATACAGAACTTTTTTCAATGGAGTCTTTTTCGTAAATTTATGTTTTTTAAGTAAATGTGTTGAACTAAATTTTACATTATTAAAATAATGTGAACAAAGTGGACACCTGTAAACATAACTATTAAGGTTGTTACTAGAGATTTTCTTTCTTCTAACCTTCTCAGCTTCAAATTTCTGTTGACGAAGTTTTGAATTGGAAAAAATATCCTTTACATGAGATTTATGTATTCCTAGGTTCTTTTTGGATTTTGAATGCTTCTTGTCCTGTTTTGTTTCAAGCGTGTCATATAAATGCTCAATAAGGGATTGCATATTTGGAAATAATTTATTACAATGGAAACAAGAATTATTGGAACTCAAGGAAATTTTTTCGTTCTTATAACCACTAGCAATTTTTACTGCAACATTTTTCGTTTTATTAACTCTTCGTATTTTAACGTGAATAAAATGAATATTTCTTTTATGTTTATATAGACTTGATCGAGATGCAAAAGTTTTAAGGCATATATTACATTTAGGTTTATTCAAACATATATTTTCAGATTGTTTTTCTGGATCCATTTTAGGAATATCAGTAGAAATTTTTTCAGTACTTAAGCTACAATGTAAACATTTCTTGTGACTATCCAAAGCTTTACTGTTTGGAAAAAGAATAAAACAAATTTCACAATACTTATTACAATTATCTAAAAAAGGTCTAAGATTATTCAAAAGAACGGTTGCAGTATTTAATTTGGGATCACTATTACATCCTACATTCGTTTGTATGAGTTCCCTACTAGGCTTTGATCCTAATATTATCTTATTTTTATGAATTGCCACAGTGCTTGATTCATCCACATCTGGTACTTTGTCATTAGTTACTTTTCTCTTTTTTCCAAATCTTAACATCATATCTCGGTCAGACCATTCTCCATTTACTTTTGGAACAGATATAAAATTAATATCATTTTCTGAATTAGAGTTCAGACTTTCCTCTTCTTTATTTAAGGTTTCTTCTATTGTTGATACTGAAATGGATTAATTTTTGAATAAAAGTAGATTAAAGTTACGTGAAACTGGTTTCCGCAATATATTAATTTACTTTGAGGTCATTCTGACTGCAATTTATTTACAGTGTAGCTATATTGACAGTTCTCCCGGTGCAGGAATATGCTTGTTAAATTTTCTGACACAATCAAACTTAATGACATGCAATAACCGTATATCTTTTTCTTATTTTAAAATGGAGTCTGTAATAGCCACTGCTCTTGCTGCACTTGATAGCTGATGAAAAATAAAAGAGTAGTACATTATTTTGATGGAGGTAAAAGATAAACCTAAAATATCCTTTAAAATTTATCAGTGCCATAATAAATGGTTATTAATTGCAGTTTGATAGTTCATGTAATGGCATACTATGGCTGCATGTGATGATGACTGATGGTAAAAACTTTGGCAGTTAAGTGTGCATAATATACTTACAAATTAAATTACATTCCTATAGTGAGAGAAATATCCACATAGCATGATCCTCAGAAACACCCACTTGTAGCCTTATAATGTGAACTTGGATGATCTGCAAAAGTTACAGCCTATATACGTCCCACTGCTGGGCACAGGCCTCCCCTCATTTATGAGAGGGTTTTAGAGCAAGTAAGTGTCCTCCGCGCTGCCCCAATGCGTGTTGGCGAACTTCACATGTCTTCAATAATTTTTTTTCTTATTCCTCAGACATGCAGGTTTCCTTACGATGTTTTCCTCCACCGCCGAGCACGTGGTAAATCAGTACTTAAAATTGCAATTAACAATTTCATTGGTGCCGGCGGGGATCGAACCTGGGTTACTCGCGTTCTGTTATATTTACAGCAAGCGTTAACCATCTGAGCTACCACGGCTCGATGATCTGCAAACAACCTATAAATGTTTTAAACACAACACGGCGAGAACTATTTTTAATACATATATATAATGGAATTATTAATAAGATAAAATAAATTTATCTTAAATGATTATCGCAAGTCTGAATAACGCCACATTAATATATCCCACCCAGGCGAAACCAGAGCAGTTCGCTTGTTATACATGTTATTTTAAACTTAATAGGTAAATTAATACAAAATACTTGGGTATACAATTCTTTTCAAATATTTTCTCATTAAGAGAAAATTTCTAACTAACCGAATAAAATAACATTATAATGATATAGCGTTATTAGTGGATTTCACTATTGGTTCGGTGCATATTAACAGTACAAACTTGATGAGTCGCTATTTCTAATCCCATTCTTTCTATGTACGACTGTAATCATTATTATCAATGCGTGCCTGTGCTTTTTGGTGCAGCCAATCCCAAGCCCGGATAAAAAAGAGGGATGGTTCCGCCTGAGAGAGTGGGAGTATCTGGTAGACTAACATACCTGCGCTAGGACAAGCGCAGTCGAGCGCTGTACGCGGGGATGAAGGAATCCTGGAGGGTTGAGCCGATCATCATTGGGGTATATAGTGGTGAGAGGCAACACGCCCTCTTTGAACCCGGATTTCTAGCTACACGGTGGCCCTATTTGCTAGCCACAGGTAAGGAAATGACCAAGCGCCCCGTCAGAGTCGCAAGCGAGGGACATGTGGCTGCCCAGGTTCCTGAAACGGGCTAGTTGGTGGTAAAGGCCATAATGACGGAGCAAGAAACAGTTATTCAGGTAGTGGGAATGAGCCTTTTCAGCCCTGTCTGCCAGCTGGATCGAGCTCCGATGTCGCGCTGTGAGGCAACTTTGCGTAACTATATTCCCCCTATAATCCTAACGCCTGCAATTTCTTTTATTTATAGTAGGGCGTTCCCAAAGGTGCGGGCTCCATGGAGGGTGGGAGGACGCGATCATTAATGGCGTGCCCTTCATCTAGAACTAGCCTCGTGCAGGCCAACCTCCACCACAGCGAAACTGCGTCGGCTCAGTTACGCAAATGGTTGGAAGGTCAACGGACGGCTTATAGTGCTAAATCAAGAATCGTAGGTTGGGGCTGGTAAAATCAAAGGCCTAAACAACCTAAAAGGTAAGTTATTCTACAACTCTGTGTACAATAAGCCGAGCATGTCTACTAATCTTTACACAACCATTAACAGATTTCTTTTCAGAGACATGTATGCCGTAGCATTACAAAACACACAGAACGAAAGAATAGTCGTCGCCTCGGTCTACATGCCGGAGGAAGAAATACCTCCCCCTCATGACCTCGTAAGGCTAATGAATTTCTGCGAGATAACTGGACTAGAGGTTGTGATCGGGACGGACTCCAACGCGCTTCATCCTTTCTGGGGAATAAAAGAACCGAATAAACGAGGTAACGTGTTAACTGAATATCTTTTTAGCACTAAGCTAAACATTTGAATACAGGTTCTGAACCAACCTTTATAAGCAAACTTTGTGGAATGGCATCTGTCGAGAGAGGCTTCATGCTCAGACCATAGATGGATCTGTTCCGTATTACGTCGCTACGTTACGGTCGATATCCTCACTACACCACCATGGAGAAACCCCCGCAAGACGGTCAAAACAAAATACCTTTATAGGCTGACGTCTTTATCGCGGGTTTTGATGGGACAAACACTATAGCAGAATTGTTGCTCCTAAAAGAACAGGTAGCAGCTGTTACCAAAGCCATGATAGATAGCTACCATGAATTATGTCCAGAAATCACTCCACCAAGGCATGATGAGAAAAGCAACCGTGGTGGGATAAAAACTATATAGAAAAAGTAAGAAGGTCTTCAATATTATATATAATATTTAATAAGGCCTTTAATAGGGCCATGAATACCAACGGATGAAGACTGGCTAAAGCTAAGGCTGAGTACAAAAAATGTATCGGGTTCGACGCTCGACAGGGTGGCGTAAATTCTTTGGTCACATAGAAAAATATGAACAATCTAATCGGATAAGGAAAATCTTAGCTAAACAAAACACGCCGGGTTCAATTACTCTAAAGAAACCCGACGGAAGCTACTCAACATCGCCGGATAAAACCAAGCGCATCCTAAATGAAATGCACTTCCCAGGTTTCTGCGTAACACAGGGGGTAAACCGGCATGGTGATATACTGACATCAACTGCAGAAGACTGGAATTTAGCATAGAGAGCGATAATGATGGATCGAATCCATTGGGCCATTCACAGTTTCCTCTCCTATAAAACGGCATAACCTGACGGCATATTCCCTGCAATCCGACAGTTGGGAGGTAAAGCCCTAATAATTAGGCTTGTTGACATAATGAAAGCTATTATAACTTTCTATCAATGCAGAAACATGATTGGCAAACGATGGGATCTGACGCCAAAAATTATAGTGTGGCTGTACAAAACAGTAATTCGGCCCTGATTAGCAAATGAAAAATTATACTGTGGCTGCATAAAACTGTAATTCGCCCCATGATTACATACGGAGCTCTGGTATGGTGTACCAAAACAAATGAAAGCACCACTACAAAGAAACTTCATCGTTACCAGAGACTGGCATGTACGTAGGACACTCAATAAGTTTTGAGATATACAGAAAGTATTCTAGATACAATTAATATTTATTTTACATTTTTTCAAAATATTCTCCATTATGCTCTATACAAAGTTACATTCGCCTAAACCAACTCCGAAAACACTTTTGCCAGTCTTGATCTGACAGATCGGAAATCGCTTCTTCGTAGGCATTATATTTTCTTTGACTATTGGAAACAAAAAGAAATCAAGCAAACAAAAAGGAGCTAAGACAGGGCTGTAGAGTGGGTTTCAACAACGAGTTTCAACACCAGATTCCTCAATAAATGCTTTTGTTCTAAGGGAGGTGTGTGAAGAGGCGTTATCGTGATGCAGCATGATTCCCCGAAGCCCGTTCCTTAGTCTTCTCTCCCGCATAGGTTGAAAATATTTGGGTAATGCAACTGTAGTATAGCATTCAGAGTTGACTGACCTACAATTTTCCAGCATTGACGTTGACAAATGTCCACTCCGCGAAAAAAAAATCGACACCGTTTTTACCGACGTTGCGAGGTCTTTGCAGTTTTGTCGGTAACTGTCCTTTTGAGTAGACCCATACCGATGATTACCTTTTGTTTTCCGGATCATATTGATAGATGCATGTCTCAACACCAGTAACGATTTTTAAACGCATTTCATGGCACCAATCCACACAATCTGTTTTCCGCTTTCGGAGGGTAAACAAGGGATCCATCGACAACAAAGCTTCCTCACTCCAAGATGTTGATGTAGGATGGTATGAATACTCCCCGAATCAATGCCTACAATCTTTTCGATGTCCGTATAGGTGACTCGTGGGTCTTCTCGCACCAATATTTCAGTAGTATGTATTTCATACATACATTTTCTGCCCTTATTGCTGTTTGCGGGGCCCCGGTTCTTTGGTCACCTTTAAGGTTAATTTTACCCCTTTTGAATTCAGCAAACCACATAAAAATTGTTGCGCGTGATGGAGCTGAGTTCCCTAATGCTGATTGTAGCCATTGTAAACTTAATTGTTCGGTTAAACTAATATAAATTATTATATCTCATAGCGCGCAAATGTTCACGATTAAGATGCATCGTTTTAAATGAAAAGCGCGGGAAGCGTTGCAGGAAAATTAATAGAACTTTGTTTCTTTTTAATATTGAGCAATTGGATTATGGAGTTCTATTTTTAAATAAATCTGCTTTTAATAAACATAATATAACATGGGTGCGTTCCATTTTTAAATTTCGAGCATCTCAAAACTTATTGAGTGATCTATGTATGGTTGCCACTGGCTGCATAAGGACTACACCAACAGCAGCCTTAGAGTCTATGCTGGAGCAAATCCCGCTTCGTTTACACATAAAACAAGAAGCTACTTTAACTGCCATTGGACTCAAGATCCTATTTCTTTGGAGTAGAAGTAGAGTCCCTCATACAGGTATAATTGATAGAATTTACTCAAAAACTCAAAGACAAGTACGATCAGATCCTCAAATAGTTTGTATTTGATAAGTAGTATAAGATACAGTTAAATAA